GTAGAGGGGCCCCAGCCCCGTGTCCGGAGAGCCCCCCCCGTCTGGCGGGCCGGGCCCGGCCGCGCCGCGCACGTCCCCAGCGCCCTCTCCGCTCGCAGAGGCAGGGCCGGGAGGGATAAAGGGCCGCTGCGGCCTCCAGCTGATCCGCGCCCCCGGCCCGGCACAAGCCGGGGAGAGGGAGGGGGAGCAGCGCGCGGTGCCCGAACCCGGTAACGCGGCCGGGACAGGGGGCTGGTTACCTGGGCGACAAGAGCCGGAAGAGTCCGACAGCGGAAAGCACCGGAGCAGCCACTGACAGCTCCCAGCATGCAGCGCGGCTTCCCGTTTCCTCCTCTCCCCCCATCAGGCTGCCTGCGCCACAGCGCCCCCTGCCGGTCCTGAGGCAGCGCAGGGCTCTGCCCCTGCTGCCTGAAGCGTGGGTGCATGTGTGAGAGAGCGCGTCTCTTCGCAGTGATTCTCAAACTTTTGTATTGGTGACCCGTTTCACACAGCAAGCCTCTGGTGCGACCCCCCCTTATGAATTAAAAACACTTTTTTATATATTTAACACCATTATAAATGCTGGAGGCAAAGCGGTGTTTGGGGTTGAAGCTGACAGCTAGCGACCCGCCCACATAATAACCTCACGACCCCCTGAGGGGTCCAGACCCCCAGTTCGAGAACCCCTGGAGTAGGGGTTGCATGCATTCCGTGTATGCATGACTGTAGGGAAGTGTGTGTATGCACAATGTGTGCCTGTACAAGGGAAGTGTGTGTATGTGTTCTATTGTGTAATGTTAATCAGTTTGTGTGTCCGTGTAGGGGAGGTCTGTTGTCCACGGCTTGTGTGTAAGACAGTGTATGAAAAAATGTCTCTATGTAGGCAAGTGTGTGCATGCATGCAGTGTATGTATTTGTGTGTAGGTGGGTAAGAGACTGTGTGTCTTTGTGTAGGAAGGTGCATGTATTGCCGCATGTGTGTATACCTGTGTAAATAAAATTTGCAGCCTAACTCTTTGACTTTTAATCCTTTTGTTGGCTTGTGCACAGAAAAAATTGATGACATAAAATGTGTGTGTTCATTTCATAACATGTTTTTAAAAGAGAAGAGAACTCTAAAAAAAGTATTGTTTCTTACAAAGTAAATGTCCTTGAGTAGTAATTGCAGAAGAGCCAATGTATCATGCATTTCTCCCCACCTTTTTCTAGCTACATTAAATTACTCCTGAGAGAATTCTGCGCCACTGCAGAATGCAGAGTTTTGCAGAATTCCTTGTTTCCCCAGCAGAATTTCTGGCTGCCACTAGAGGCCGCTGGACTCTGCAGAGTCCATCTTACAGTGAGCGGAGTGCCCAGTCACATTCATTGACCCTCACTCTCCTGGGATGGGAGAGGGCCTGGGAGACCCAGCCAGCTCTGGCAAAGGGTGAGGAAGGGCAGGGCCTCAGCACGCCATGTACCCGGGTGTGACAGTAAAGAAGCTGGGGGGAGTAAAGGCTCTGGGAGTGCTGGTGTCTGGGCTGGGGACTACACCATGGCTGGGCTTGCGTGGGGGAAGGGGGAGGCTGGTGTATGGGGGCTGCCCCGCGGCTGGGCTCTGGGGCTGCCCCGCGACTGGCCTCGGGGGGGGGGCAGCTGGTGTCTGGGGGGGTCCCCATGGCTGGACTTTGTGGGGAAGAGGAGGATGGTGGTGTCTGGGCCAGGGGCTGCCCCATGGCTCTGCTCTGGGGGGGAAAGGGGTGTGGGTATCTGGGCTGGGTGGTGCCCAAATAAAATATGCAGAATTTTAAAATATTGTGCACAGATTTTTTTAATATTTTGGTGCAGAATTCCCCCAGGAGTAACATTATAAATAAGGCAACATTTTAGTCATGGGTATTTTTAGTAAAAGTCATGGACAGGTCACAGGCAGTAAACAAAAATTCACAGCCCGTGACCTGTCCATGACTTTTACTATATACCCCTAACTAAAACTTGGGCGGGGAGCCGCAGGTGCTCTGGGGGATGTGGTCCAGGTGCTGGTGCTGGGGGAAACAGGTTGGCAGCAGCGTGCGGCCCAGGACTCCCACTGGTGCTGGGGTGGGAGGGTTGGTGGGCCTGGCAGGGGCTCCCTATCCGGCTCCACGTGTCCCTGCAGCTCTGAGGTGGAAGAAGGGTCAGGGGGCTCTGCACGCTGCTCCCGCCACAAGCGCCAGCTGCGAACCTCCCATTGGCTGGAAACTGCAGCCAATGGGAGTTGCAGGGGCGGAGCCTGCGGGTGAGGGCAGCGCGCAGAGCCCCCTGGCCTCTCCACCTAGGAGAAGCTGCAGGGCCATGCCAGTGGGAGCTGGGGAGTCCCCCACCCTGAGGTAAGCCCTCCCCTAGCCCTGAGCCCCCTCCCAAACACCCAAACTGCTGCTGCTGCTGGTCACTGAAGAAGTCACAGAGGTCACAGAAAGTCATGGAATGCGTGACTTCCGTGACCGCCATGACAGTCTCACAGCCTTAATTATAAATTCCTTGTTGCTGACTCTCTCTTTTTGTGTGAATGTCCAGCACCTACCACAGTGGGGCCCTAATCTTAGTTGGGGCCTATAGGCAGTAAACAACAATTGTAACAATAAATAATGTGGAAATATATGTGTTAGTGCATGTTAGTTGTGTAACATGAATACATGTGTGTATCTGTGCATGGGAGTCAGTTTCTAGAGATTTATGTATATGGGTATATGGACAGGTGTGGATGTCTGTGGTTGTGCTTTATGGATTTGTATTTGGGCTTCAGGAGTGGGCCTTTTAATGGACCCATTGCAGATGTGATAATGTGTAGTCCTAATTCCATATGTGAAATAAATAACACATAAAATTACCATATAGGCATTTCTGAAATAAAAATTATATTTCTTGGTCTATCATTTCCACAAATTACCACCATTGACAAATGTGAACTGTACTCCATTCACTCATAGATGGAACAGAATCGTTGCACTAATGTTGCATTATACAAAACATTTATACAGGTGATGTGACATGAACAAATCAGGTTTTGTACTTGTCAGACATTGCTCTTGGCAAGTCATTAAAAAAATAGAGCTGAGAGTGGTGAAGATTCTGATTTCCCTTTTGGATTACCCATTATCCTCTGAGAAAATAAAACAGAGCCCCAATTTTGTTTCATGGTTTTAGGTTAAAGAAAAACAGTTACATTGCCATCTTATTTCCCAATATTCTGTTTTACAAATTATATTCTTACTAGCTGTCAACTCACCTGCATTTGAAGTTAAATTCACTTTGACCTACTCACCCTTTTTATCATTCATCCATTTTGGAGAGCAACACAGGCATATGTATATGGCATGGGTGAAACAAATACTGGAATACTGTGTCCGTTTCTGGCATCTACATTTTAAATAGGATGTTGAAAACTTGGAGAGGGTGTAGAAGAGAGCCACAAAGATAATTTGAGGACTATAGAAAATGCCTTACCACGAGAGGCTTAAAGAGCTCAGTATGTTTAGTTTATCAAAAAGAAGACTGAGACATAATTACGGTGTAGAAGTGTCTTCATCGGGAAACAATGTCAGATAAAAGGGCTCCTTAATTTAGCAGAGAAAGGCTAACAAGAACTAATGTCGTGAAGCTGAAGCCAGAAAAAAATCAAATTAGAAAGAAGGCACACATTTTTATCAGTGAGAGCGATTAACAATTGGAACAAATGACCATGGGAAGAGGTGGATTCTCCATCTCATGTGGTCTTTAAATTGAGACTAGATGCATTTCTGGAAGATATGCTTTAGCCAAACATAAGCTATTTAACGAGTTATTGGGCTCAATGCATGCATACTGGGGTGAAATGTAACGGCCTGTGATATAGAGGAGGTTAGAATTAGTCTCAGTCTCTATAAAATTATTGCTGGGATTGAAATGGAGCAGAGTGAGGACTATTGCTTTGATCCTGCAAGTACTTATGCATGTGAATAACTTTACACGTGTGAGTAGTCCCATTCAATTCAGTGGAACTACATACATATGTAATGATATTTATGTTCATTTATTTGCTGGATTGAAAGAGAGAAGGTGGAGAGAAAGAGAGAACACTGAAGATGAATATTGGAGAAGAAAGTAAAATCACAAAAGGAAAGAGGATTTTTAAAAAGAGTATTTTAAAGAAAATAAATGTAAAAAGAAATAAAAGTAGCTTCTGGGGGGAGGGAAGACAAACAAACTAGAGGAAGTTAAAACATAGGGCCCAATACTAAGCCCATCGACTTCACAGGGAGCAGGACTCAGCCCACAGGCAGGCTTCTAGATATAGAAAAGAGAAAAAAATGGAGTAATAGGAGACAGAACTTTAAGAAAAACACCACATATGCAAGATTTGCATAAAATAATGAGTGGGCTACACTGTTTAGGCAAAGAAGAAACTTCCCTTCCTTTTCCCTCCAATGACCTTAAAAACAAATTGGGATTTAATTGTTATTATAAAACATTTCTCCAGCGCTGTAAAATTACATGGGGCATTATAAACACAAGTTTAACTCCTGCAACCCCTTCTTTCCTGAGCAGGGTCATTGGGGATACTCAGGTGAAGAAGCACTTCTTAGCCCAGCAGTGAATATGTTCTGGTCTTGCAGGAGGTGGGTAACTGGCAGAGCTCAAAGCTGGCTACTGGGAGCAAGATCAGCTCTCTCTGTTACTGGTAGGGTGACCAGACAGCAAATGTGAAAAATTGGGTCAGGGGTGAGGGGATTAATAGGAGCCTATATAAGAAAAAGACACAAAAATTGGGATTGTCCCTATAAAATCGGGACATCTGGTCACCCTAGTTACTAGGATGGGATAGCGTGGCACTCCCCAGAAGCGAAGTCCGCTTTGTGGGAGGCTCTTATCTCTGTGCGGTGTGCAGGGCGGGCACTGCAGTTCCAGAGGGCGCTGTTGGGGCGGCAGGGAGGGCGGCACAAGCATGCTCTGCTCTTGTTCCTTCTTCGCTGAAAAAGCTTCCTGGGCTGGGTTCAGACAGTCCCCTCTCCACGTGGGTTCACCGGCGGGCAGCTTGACCGGGAGTAGCCTGGGCGTTCCATAGCCCCGTAACATCAGGCGCCCGGGCAGAGAGCTTCGGGCGGCGCGCACATGGAGGAGTCAGTTTTCCTGGAGATCAGGCGGAGGATGCAGAGCGGGCTGCTGATTATCCGGTATTGCTGAGGAGCGGCTGTGTCCGCTTCCCTCTCCCTGCGCGGGGCCGAGCCCCTTACCTTGCTGCCTAGCCGTGCCTGCTCAGGAGCTCCTGCTCACGGGTCTTTTGGAGGCACGGTGGGGACAGCGCATCTGCAAGCCTGGCTCTTGTGGCGGCTGGAGTTCTGGGGTCATTCAGGTGCAACCACTTGGGTGACAAGAACGTGCCCCCCCCCCCTTTTACTGTTCTGTTGGCATTTTGATGTACCCAAGGCTCCTTGTGTTGCTTGACTGGTGGTTACCTAAGCACAGTCCTTCAGCATTCCCCTTGTGCGTGTAGTCGCTATCCCAGCACCGCGTAATCTCCCCAAGTAGTCTTAGTTTCTAATTTTACTCTTAATGTAATTTCTAATCTTAAAAATCATTATATATCAACCGAAAAGCATTTAGATGATGTTCCTCTATTTACTGAGGTATTTATCTGATTCTGTTTCATATATTCTTTGAATTCCAAACTTAATTGCGCAAATAAACCTGTTTGCCCGGCTTCCCCTCCCTCAACAAATACATAAGTAACTTTCAACAATAACATTTGCAAATGCGTCAAAATCTATTATGTGGGCACTGTACATGATTTGTGAAGTTCAATATCTTGACTGCAGAAATCAGCAAAATGCATTCCATATGTAATAAAAAGTGAAAAATGTGGATGAAAACGAATATCATACTACTTACTATGAATCTTGGAAACAGTTGGCCCAGTGAATTTCAAAGGCACATCAAACCCATACAGAAAGTATTAAAAGTGACTTTTTCCTCTGTGATTTCTGCAAAATACTGTTTCCACATTTAAATGTGTTGGTTTCTTCTAATTAACAAAGGTCTGTTTTTCTGCCTCCCTCATAGTGTGGTCTGGGAACAGGCAACTATTAACATTAGGAACTGATATTTCCTCTTCTAGTTTTAATCTACTCTGAGGGTTCAGTGGGAATTATGAGTGCAAGGAATTCAGGTTCAGATACCTTGGACCCAGTTCTATCCACATGCAATTTGATGGGAATTTTGCTGGTGATTTAAATGGGAGAAAGACTGAACATTTTATTTATAATTATTGTGACCCCTCCCACATGATCTTTTAAACATGTAAACATCGTACTGTCTCTCATTTTTGTGTAATTTTGATACGTGGCTGGGATTTTTGACAGTTGAAACTATTTTTCCCGTCACATTTTTGTTTCACGGTTTTAGGTTAAAGAAAAACAGTTACATTGCCATCTTATTTCCCAATAAATAAATCTTGTGTGTACTAATTTGGAGACAAATATTTGTGGATTGTAGAAAAGTATGCATTAATTTTTGGTTTTAATCCATATACATTTCTTAATGTTGGACTCAACAAAAAATTGCATCATCCACAGCCACAAAATTTAAATAAATAAAAGTCAGAAGCATTTCAACTTTGAGAAAATTTGTTTGTTTAAACAAGTCAACATTATGTATGACTAAACCCTCATTGTAAAGCTTTCTTTCTGATATAAAAATTTATGTGTATTTTAAATCTCTAGTGAGCCAAAAGCAGGAAATTTGCCAGTGGATATTACAGTGGCTCCAGGATCATTAGAAATAAAAAGTTGTCAAGCCTGCAAGATGATCAGCTTTCCTGCAGAGGTCAGGATTGTTCCTTCTTCCTGTCGAGGACTACAGTATATAGTTGGAGATGGTTTACATGTGAGGCTGCAAGTTCAAGCAGATTCAAATACAAGTAAGGGTGACCAATTATTTTGTTTTCCTTTGATTTAGACACTGTATACCAAATTCCTTGAGAAGAAGAAAAGCAAGGCCATTGTTTAGAAAATATAATTTTTGTTTATGGATAATCTGAGACTTTTTACAAGTTATTTCGAACATAGAGAAAAACAAGGTGAGAAAATAACTAGGGCTGTCAAGCGATTAAACAATAATAGAATACTATGTATTTAAATATTTTGGGATGTTTTCTACATTTTCAAATATATTGATTTCAATTACAACACAGAATACAAAGTGTACAGTGCTCGCTTTATATTTTTGATTACAAATATTTGCACTGTAAAAAACAAAAGAAATAGTATTTTTCAAATATTTGTAATTAAAATATAAAGCGAGCACTGTACACATTGTATTCTGTGTTTTAACTGAAATCAATATATATGAAAATGTAGAAAACATCCCAAAATATTTAATACATTTCAGTTGGTATTCTGTTGTTTAACAGTGCAATTAATCGCGATAAATTTTTTTAATAGCGATTAATTTTTTTGAGTTAATCATGTGAGTTAACTGCAATTAATTGACAGCCCTAATTTTTCACTATGGCAACTTAGGGCTCCAGTTTTGAAAATGTGGCATATGCTGGCTACTTCTGCAGTTCAAATTAATCTGTCCACAATGGTACACTTGTAGCTTTGTTTTGATTCAGTCATATTTATTGATTATTTTTAGTTCTCTGTTATAACTGGGGAAATATGCTGTCTGAACTGGCTTTAGTTGTAGTGTTTTCTCTTTGCTGGCCAGCAGAGGGTATTGCTATATTGGAAACTGTCATTTTTTGAGAGAGAGCATGTTTTGTTGCTATGTTATATACCTGTACTTGGTTGACAGTTTAGACTATTGCTCCTCCCCCTCTCCCCCCCCCCCAAATATCTAGTGTGGTAAGTTAAGGGAGGCACCATCACACAGCAAAGCCAGAGATCAGTAGAGCTTACATTAACAGGGTTAAGATTTAATTTGATCTAAATGTAACTTTACAAGGATCCTCTTGACCCTGACACAACTTCAGCCTCTCCAACATGAAGCTTGTAAAACTGTTAAAAATGACCATTCAAATACAGCGTGTATTCATTACAGTAAATGCTAGATGCTGTGAATATGGGTCTTCCTTCAGCTCTGCTTGCCTGTTCTCTTCTTGTAAGCAGGCAGAATTTTGAAGTGTACAAAGAATTTGGTGTGTGGAATGTCAATATTTTTCTTCTTGCTTGTAGTAGTTAGAATCTCAGCTTTCTGGAGCTAATGAGTGGATACCCAAGTTTTTTATGTGCAAATTTATGTAGATTCAACAGGAACTTGATGTTTATTATGTCCTCTTTAATATCTGTAGAATTAATTTCAACTTTGAGTGAAAGTCTGAAGGCAAAGAAGAGTTGCACCTTTTACTGTCAATCTTGTGGTGAAATCATAATAAAAGAACGGTAAGAAATAGTTTTATGTTTTATATTAATAAATGCTGCATAACATAAGAACATAAAAACGGCCATACTGGGTCAGACCAAAGGTCCAGCAAGCCCAGTATCCTGTCTTCCGACAGTGGCCAGTGCCAAGTGCTTCAGAGGGAATGAACAGAACAGGTAATCATCAAGTGGTCCATCTCCTGTCACCCATTCCCAGCTTCTGGCAAACAGAGGCTAGGGACACCATTCCTGCCCATCCTGGCTAATAGGCATTGATGGACCTAGTCTCCATGAATTTATCTAGTTCTTTTTTGAACCCTGTTATAGTTTTGGCCTTCACAACATCCTCTGGCAAGGAGTTCCACAGGTTGACTGTGCGTTGTGTGAAGAAATACTTCCATTTGTTTGTTTTAAATCTGCTGCTGATTAATTTCATTTGGTGACCTCTAGTTCTTGTGTTATGAGAAGGAGTAAATAGTACTTCCTTATTTACTTTCTCCACACCAGTCAAGATTTTATAGACCTCTATCATATCCCCCTTTAGTTGTCTCTTTTCCAAGCTGAAAAGTCCCAGTCTTATTAATCTCTCCTCATATGGAAGCTGTTCCATACCCCTAATAATTTTTGTTGTCCTTTTCTGTACATTTTCCAGTTCCTATATATCTTTTTTTTTGAGACGAGGCAACCACATCTGCGCAGTATGCAAGATGTGAGCGTACCATGGATTTATATAGAGGCAATATGATATTTTCTGTCTTATTATCTATCCCTTTCCTATTGTTTCCTAATATTCTGTTAGGAGTGGTTGCTATTCGTGTTACTCATGCTCTAAGATGGACAGGTTAAAAGTCATATTTTTAAAAGCCTCCTCACCTGTTACTCATGTACACCAGAGATTGTTAAAAGTGAAATTATCTGAAACAAATCTTTCATCATTTACGCTATTTGTTTACTTTTGGAATGTCACTCAAAGTGGAAAATAACAAGAGACTAGGGGAGACAATGTGTTTCAGTGGTTAGGGCACTGGACAGGAATTTAGGAGATCTGGGTTCCTTTCCTGGCTCTGCACTGTAGCAGACAAGTCATTTCGTCTGTCTGTCTGCCTCAGACTCCCCATCTGTGGAATGAGGATGATGAGTCTTATTCTCTTCTGTGTTTTGAGGTATAGGGCTTTTCATCCATAGATAAGAGGTAAGTGTATTTATTAGTCAGTTTCCTTTTCTGGTTGTCCTACACTAACAAAGCACTTCAGTATGTTGTATTGCAAATACTGCAGGGAACGTTTAAGTCAAAGAGATTGTTTGTTTAAGAAATGTTAATGATTATTAATTAATTATAGCTTTAGGAGCACTTTTTAAATATAAATGTATACATGTTTTTGTATCCTTCTGCATTTCGGGAATCCTGTTTGATTCTGCTCATTCTGTCCTATAAATTCTCCCTTGTCAACAAGTTGTACTTATAGTGTGACCAACCAGAGTAGGTGTTGGTGGAAAGCTACCTTTTGTCTCCCAGGGAAAGGGTAAAATTAGCCCTTTGCCCTGAAAGTTATAGAGTCATAATAAAGAAGTATAATACAATTTTTCTGAAGAGATTTTCTGTAGTGGTTAGTGTGCTTCTGTGGAACCCCATGTGCTGAGCACTCTCTACTACAGGACTTGAAGAAGCTTGGCACGTGGAGGATGGGGCCTGTGCCCAGTAACATCTGTAGCTGTTAGGACACTCTCTCCCATTCCCCCTGTTCCCAAGATTTCAAAATCCTAGATCCGAACTCCTCCAAACTTGGGAAAGTTAATATCTCGAGCTGAACTTTTTATTGGACTCCTACTGCTAAATGGGCCAAATCGGCTTCCCAGATTTGAGCAGCCCTGAACCTTCAGAAGTGTGTAAGCTGTACCTGAACTTTGTGTGTCTGCCTTATCTCTCTCTCTTACAAAGTCTGCAGATTGACCGTGAATTTTAGTGCAGAGTTGTCTAGCTGTCGTGATGAGCAATTTGACAGCTTCAGCTGAACATGTGCACATTCTAACAGACGTACTTGCTATCTCTTAGGATCTGTGTCACTCCTAATATTCAAATTGGCAATTCAAATGTAATCCGTTTCTATTATATTGCCATCAGCTGTACTGATTTATGACTTACTCGAGTGTAACCAAATGATGATTCCATGGCTGTTCCTTATGAAGTGTTTTAGCAGCTAATTTGTGTTTTATTTTTATATATTTAAAGAATGACCAGAACTTGTTAAGTTCTTGTCAGTAGTATTTGTGATATTTTCAGTTGAATGCTATCAGAGGCATTTCCATCCCCAAATAAACATTGTTTCAAATTTTAATTTATTTACTATATGAATGGATACTGCACTCTTCTCCACGCCTGAGCACACAGAAGATCAAATTGGAATAAAAGGCTGAAGTGTGTGGGGCGTGGCAATGGCTCTCCACCATGCTTTTCTCCTTTCAGGAAGCCTCTGGTGCTTGGTTTGGCTACAGAGATCTGGAAGGTATGACAGGATGGAGCAGGGTAGCTGCCACTGTATCTTGTGTTCTCGTTTCCCACACTGCCTCATTTCCAAGCTGAAGTCAGTATTGTAGTTAATGCTGTTAGAAACAACATTAGTTCCCTCTGGCTTTGGCATCACCAGAGAGAGGGGTAGCGTATGACAGATAGCTTGTGATAACATAGATGTTGGGGGGGGTGGGAGGGGAAGAAGGTTGCAGAGATGTGTGGAGGGCAGGTTTTCCTTGCAGATGATCAGAGATCCACTGGGTTAGAGCCTGATTCTTTCCACGAGTCTCATGGCTCTCCAGAGATCCAGAATCATGCCCTCTGCCCCTTCCATACTACCCAATGTAGGGAAGGTTGTCAGATTTTCCATGGCCTGAAAGCTGCAGAGATTTCAGGATGCTTTTTTCTTTCCTACTGATTATACTGTAGAAGAGGAGGTTATAGACAAAAAGTACGCCTTTCAGGGCTTTGCTTCTGTCATTCAGTAGCTTTCAGAGAGTAGAGCAGAATGTAACTTAAATTAATTTTCATGAATTTATCTTTTAAGGAGATTGCCCTTTCCATTAGGCCAAAAAATTATTTTTGCTACACAAGTGCTTTATATGTGCATTGAAAAATCAAATGCAGAATAGAGTGTTTTTTAATTATTGCATTACATTTACTGTTATGACTGAATTCCCAAGTTTTATGTGTAGAGCAAACATCTGACTACTTAATTTATGTTAAAGAAAGGTATCAAGTATCAGAGGGGTAGCCGTGTTAGTCTGAATCTGTAAAAAGCAACAGAGGGTCCTGTGGCACCTTTAAGACTAACAGAAGTATTGGAGCATAAGCTTTCGTGGGTGAATGCCCACTTCATCAGACGCAAGTAATGGAAATTTCCAGAGGCAGGTATAAATCAGTATGGAGATAACGAGGTTAGTTCAATCAGGGAGGGTGAGGTGCTCTGCTAGTAGTTGAGGTGTGAACACTAAGGGAGGAGAAACTGCTTCTGTAGTTGGATAGCCATTCACAGTCTTTGTTTAATCCTGATCTGATGGTGTCAAATTTGCAAATGAACTGGAGCTCAGCAGTTTCTCTTTGGAGTCTGGTCCTGAAGTTTTTTTGCTGTAAGATGGCTACCTTTACATCTGCTATTGTGTGGCCAGGGAGGTTGAAGTGTTCTACAGGTTTTTGTATATTGCCATTCCTGATATCTGACTTGTGTCCATTTATCCTCTTGCGTAGTGACTGTCCAGTTTGGCCAATGTACATAGCAGAGGGGCATTGCTGGCACATGATGGTATATATATATAACATTGGTGGACGTGCAGGTGAATGAGCCGGTGATGTTGTAGCTGATCTGGTTAGGTCCTGTGATGGTGTTGCTGGTGTAGATATGTGGGCAGAGTTGGCATTGAGGTTTGTTGCATGGGTTGGTTCCTGAGTTAGAGTTGTTATGGTGCAGTGCGTGGTTGCTGGTGACAATATGCTTAAGGTTGGCGGGTTGTCTGTGGGCGAGGACTGGCCTGCCTCCCAAGGTCTGTGAAAGTGAGGGATCATTGTCCAGGATGGGTTGTAGATCACTGATGATGCGTTGGAGAGGTTTAAGCTGAGGACTGTAGGTGATGGCCAGTGGGGTTCTGTTGGTTTCTTTTTTGGGCCTGTCTTGTAGCAGGAGGCTTCTGGGTACACGTCTGGCTCTGTTGATTTGTTTCTTTATTTCCTTGTGTGGGTATCGTAGTTTTGAGAATGCTTGGTGAAGATCTTGTAGGTGTTGGTCTCTGTCTGAGGGGTTGGAGCAGATGCGGTTGTACCTCAGCGCTTGGCTGTAGACGATGGATCGTGTGGTGTGTCCGGGGTGAAAGCTGGAGGCATGAAGGTAGGCGTAGCGGTCGGTGGGTTTTCGGTATAGGGTGGTGTTAACGTGGCCATCGCTTATTTGTACTGTGGTGTCTAGGAAGTGGACCTCCCATGTAGATTGGTCTGATGTTGATGGTGGGGTGGAAGCTGTTGAAATCATGGTGGAATTCTTCCAGGGTCTCCTTCCCATGGGTCCAGATGATGAAGATGTCATCAATGTAGTGTAGGTAGAGAAGGGGCGTGAGTGGACGAGAGCTGAGGAAGCGTTGTTCCGGGTCAGCCATAAAAATGTTGTGGGGCCATGCGGGTGCCCATGGCGGTGCCACTGGTCTGGAGGTATATATTGTCACCAAATTTGAAATAATTGTGCGTGAGGATAAAGTCACAGAGCTCAGCAACCAGTTGTGCTGTGGCATCATCAGGGATACTGTTCCTGACAGCTTGTATTCCATCTGTGTGTGGGATGTTTGTGTAGAGAGCCTCTACATCCATGGTGGCTAGGATGGTGTTTTCTGGGAGGTCACCAATGCATTGTAGTTTTCTCAGGAAATCAGTGGTGTCACGGAGATAGCTGGGAGTGCTGGTGACGTAGGGTCTGAGTAGGGAGTCCACATATCCAGACAGTCCTTCAGTGAGAGTGCCAATGCCAGAGATGATGGGGCGTCCAGGATTTCCAGGTTTGTGGATCTTGGGTAGTAGATAGAATAACCCCGGTCGGGGTTCTAATGGTATGTTGATTTGTTCCTGTGTTAGTGTAGGGAGTGTCCTGAGTAGATGGTGCAGTTTCTTAGTGTATTCCTCAGTGGGATCTGAGGAAAGTGGCCTGTAGAATTTGGTATTGGAGAGTTGTCTGGCAGCCTCCTTCTGGTAGTCAGACCTGTTCATGATGACAACAGCACCTTCTTTATCAGCCTCTTTGATAATGTCAGGGTGGTTTCTGAGGCTGTGGATGGCATTGCATTCTGCACGACTTAGGTTATGAGGCAAGCGATGTTGTTTTTCCACAATTTCTGCCTGTGCACGTCGGCGGAAGCATTCTATGTATAGGTCCAGACTGTCATTTCGACCCTCAGGAGGAGTCCATGTGGAGTTCTTCTTCCTGTGTTGTTGCGTCGGATGAAGTGGGCATTCACCCACAAAAGCTTATGCTCCAATACTTCTGTTAGTCTTAAAGGTGCCACAGGACCCTCTGTTGCTTTTTAAAGAAAGGTATATTATTCTAAATTCAATGAAGGTTTTGGGGCGGGGTAATCTACATCAAGTCATACAATTTTATTTTTAAATTTTATAATGCAAATAGATTTTCAATAGAGAGGATTTTAATGTATACTTTCTAAAAATAATGTTAATGTTGGACTGCAGTTTTGGGGTATTATATAAATTAAAAGAGAGAAGAAAATCTGAAACAGAGTCTTCTTCCAATATAGGACCCTGTGTGGGTAGAGCCTTACAATAGCGTGGGGTCCCATTGAGGGACTGGACCCCTAATAAGCCCATGTTGTTGTATTAGATCAGCTTGAGTGAATCATTGCTCAATACAATTCAAACTCTTCTAAAACTGAACTAGTGCTGCATTAATTTGATGTCATTTATCCAGTTCTAGAGACAGATAAGGGCCCAGATCCTGGCTTCCCACTGACAGATGTACAAGGCCCAAAATGTAATAGAAAAGCTGTATTTCTGCATAGGATGGCCAAGCCAAGGGGGTAGATGGTCTGTTTAGGAGGGCTCTGCAGCCCCCCATATGAGGCAAGCTGTGGCAATGCTGCAGCTGCTATTGTTATGTAAGGCTGTGTGGGGTACTTGGTGGAGACTAAAGGTCTCTGTCTGGCAAGGCAAGGTGGGGGCTCTGGGCTGCAGGTGCAGATCAGACATTGACAGGTGCCAGTTTACAGCAGGCTTTGTTGGTTTATGTTACATAATGCTTGAAGAAAACAAATATAATTGTTAAATACAACTCTAGTTGCTGTAAAGCAAAGAACACCATGTAGTAATAGGAGTGGATGGATTTGAGAGCAGTAAGGAAGATTGGATAAGGCATTTGACAAGCCCCAAAATAACTGGTTAGTTGATGGAACAAATATTGGTTGAATATTATGAGATAATGTCAAAAATGATCAAATATTTTAAAGCACTAATTTATTAGAACAGTAATAAAACAGTAAGACTTGATGGTCTCCAGTAGGCTTAGTCTTAGAAAGGTACTTATGCCTAATTAAAAAAAAAGTTACTTAAAGTTATTTTAACTCAGAAAAATGCCAAACACAATAAAATGAAGTTCTAAAAAATGAAAGAATGGAAGTATGATGCAATCAATAAAGTAGGCCGCTTTGTGCATCAAGGCGTTCATGCTGGAACATTTGACAGTTTTTGACTATGGTCAAATAATAGGTGGTCAATTGACTGGCTTGCCAAGCCTTGTCATAGCTACACTACAGAATTTGTAAGGATAGCTGTGTGAGGGGTTGGAACCCCCCTTTCGGGGTGCCACAAGACGTGCTGGGGTCCCACTGAGCCCACCTGTCCCAGCAGCCTGTGTTTCCCTTAATCTGTGTTGATGTGACAGGTTCTCAAGCCCCTTTCCAGCATACACACAGGTAGGGACACACCTAGCTGTAGAATCACATAGAGCCTGCGATCAGTTCTCTGTGGGAGGTCTCAGCTAAGGGATTGCCCAGCACTCATGTGCTCACCTCCTTTGATATGTAAACCCATAATAATATTGTCTTGCGCTGTATAGAGAGATCTGCACAGCGCAAGCTCATAAAAATCACCCCCCCTTCAATGTGGAGGGAGATATGCACAGCTTCTGCCCCCCCCCGAGTTATGAGTTGCACAAACTGGGTTTTGGTATAAACAAGAAATACATTTATTAACTACAAAAGGAAAATTTTAAGTGATAATAAGGGATAGGAAACAGAACAAAGCAGATTACCTTAGTAAATAAACAAAAAGTGCAAACTGAGCTTAACACACTAGATATGTAGGATATAAATTACCAAATTGTCACCCTGAGTGATAAACAGGCTGGCAGATTCTTAAGGCACAAGTTGCCTTGGCTTTCCCAGGTTTTCATACATAGGCTAAAAATCCTTCTAGCCTGGGACCATGACGTCCCACAGTTCAGTCTTTGTTCCTTAGGTGTGTTGTTGCAGGGAGAGTGAGGTCCCCTCATAATGTCATTTCCCCCCTTTTATATCTTCTCCCCACTTGCTGGAAAGCTCTTTTGCTGTGACCTGGGTCAAATAGTTCCCATTGTGTAGTGCTATCTCTGAGAGGTTTCTATTGTACACAGTTCCTGGGGTAATCCTTGTGCTTGTGTGCATTTCCTCAATGAGCCATTAACATTGTTTGGCCTTTTTACTCTCGTACCCAAAAGGCTGCCTGTGGACATGCCTGTGGACACCTCAAGACATGTTTCAGCAACACTACATATGTGTTATGTATTACTTCAGATACAACAATAGCACATACAATCCAATGAGGTATTACTGTCTGGCAGATCAAGACTTTTAGAATGACACCTCACAAGGCATAATTTGTATAAGACATCCTAATTACATGACAGTGGTGAATGTTGGGGTGTCCTTTAAATAGATTTTTTTAATATATTTCAACTCATCTGCAGACAGTATTGATTTTGATAAGGTGCTAATACAATCTGAAATCTATTTTGTTATCTAGAAAGAAGGAAACCTATGAAATATTTCACTTCTGCACAAGAATACAGAAGGTACCCAGGAAAGTATTGGCCTCTTAAGAGACCTCCTGATGGGAGACATGGTGGTGGTGGACTGCAGCGATGGGAAAATATGTGAGCGTTTGCTCAGAGATTGTGAGCTAACTTTAGAAAAAAACATATACATTTGCAAAGTGGTAAAGCAGGCAAAATTGCAAATGCAGGCTTTAAGTAAGGAGACAAGAAACTGTACATAGAAGGCAGCAGAAAGAGAAAGATAGGCATGAGAGGAAAACACACAAGGAAGCTCAAAGAATGGCCTCAAAATCTTGCAACAAACAGCCTAGAGAATGACATGGGATGTGTGGAAGTGACTGTGCATCTAGCCATTGTCCAGCATTTGGGCAAAAGTGTAGAATTTGCTTCACTGTAAATGAGTGAGACTGAGAGCTCTGTGCACTTAAGAAAAACAACACATCTGTGGGACTAGAGGAACATATCTGGGGAATTGTAGTCAGGCTTAGGAGGTTGTGGGTAATATGACCATTTAAAAACAAAAAGATGTTATGAAACATTTTTCTGTATGTATGTTTGGATTATATTGGTTTAAGGAGTAACTACTGTATTTCAAATATTTGACTTTTTATTAAAGTAGGCATAAAAACATGCACTGAGGAGGAATAAGAGAAGAGTTACTGTTTAAAAAAAATAGAATTTAACTTTTGCTTTTCATAGGCCAGATGTTCAAACAGAAACTGTATGCAAGAAAATAGTGTGTAGGTGTTTCAGACAAATGGAATTGTTCTTGTATAGCTTTGTGTGTGTATTCTGGCTTTGAGGCATCATGAAATATAATAAGGTGTTTTGAGGCATGTGTGACTTTTGTAAATTAAATTTGAGTCTAACTTCAGGTTGCATTATCCAGTGCAAGTAAAAGCACTATAGCATTTTTTATTTTGTTTGCTTTGTTTTGCTTCAAAGTCTGATTGCCTCCCTGTGAGCATGGAAGGCCTTCAGAATGCATAACTGACCTTGGTGAGTGTATACTGCAGAGAGACCTGTATTGATGTTGCATGGACGTCTGATGTAAAAGAGAGAGATGAGAACTTTAAAGAGAATTTTTTAAAATGCTCATTATTATGTTTTTCATGACTATAACTTGATGTATTTTATTTTTATCTCATTGTTCACTTCACTAGTTGTCAATGCCAATTTCTGTAGTATAATTGCTGGAGATCAGGCTGAGCCTGAGTCTTTCCACCTGTTGGGCATGATGTAAGATTCACCTGTTTATGCAGCCATTTCCCAAATAATCTTGTCATGAGTTGCTGCCATTGCCTTCTCAGAATTCATCCAATGGGCTTCAACATCTATAAGTATGTACCTTTTACAGGAGGAGGGAAGGCCAGCTCTTTCTTTTTGGGGGAATCTCATGTTTGCTTGTTTTTTTGCAGTGTGTTCAGACCCATTGATGACAGGTGCCTTAGAAATGCTTGTAATAGATTGAAATATCTTGTTTTCTTTCCTCTATTAGGACGTTTCTCCGAGTTCTTCCCCTACCAAGTGAAAACTGGAGTGCTTTGGTTGAGGAGTGGTGCTGCCACCCCAATCCCTTTGCCAACAGTGCTCTTCACCCTCAGAATAACGACTGTTTTCTTGGACACACTTACTTTCTGGTGAATTCAGGAAGTGAGTCACATGTGCCTGGAACTGAAATAGTCCATTCAGAGACTGAACATTCTGCTTCTGAGAGGGGCCCTACCTTGGTAAAGTATTTTGTTTTAATAAATCTCAAAGTGTGACTTTTTAATTATTTTTTTAATTTTATTTTGGGGAGTGGACACTTCTGTGAAAGATCTTTATGAAATTCGGGGCTTGTAGAGTTGTTGACATCTGTTGTCTAGGAACCAGACTAAATTCTAGCATTTTCACAGCAATTGCTCCTAATCTTAATATCACCTAGGTACACAAGAAATGATTCAGAAACCTCTTCCTTGAAATACACTTGGAATCATTGTAAAAATACTGTTCAGAGAACCTAGTACTTGCAAAGAAGACCGAGTAAAGCAAATGGGATTTCATATCGTCAGACAGTGAAGAAGCAAAATCTTTGGATCACCGTTGATTAGACTGAAATGGAAACAGTGGTCTGTTGCTACAGGCTTTGTATAATCAGATGGGTAGTTAATTAAAACTGTACCTGTGATGTGATAGGAAGATGTCAATCAAAGAATAGCAAAATAAAACCCAAAAGCTAAGAATGGGTGGAATCGAAGGGTAACTACATTTGCTGAAACTTTGCTGGACACTAAGAAGTAAATATGAACAAAACAGTTTGGCTATACAAGAACTTGTCAAAATCAGGATGTGGTTTGGGTCCAGATATAATATTTATTTATGTTCCCACAATGCAAGGGGGCGAGGGTTAGAGATGCAAAGATGGACCCATGTTTTGGGAATATCTTTGTCCCACCACTTTGTCGTGGTTCTGATGCAAAAGCTGCACTTGCCTTGCAAATACTGCCTTCAAGTAACTTACTGGGCTTGTTAGGCTAGGATTAAACAGGCTGAGCCGCTCAGTAAGTCGCAGTATGAATTCCATGCACTGCTGGTCTCAGTCTCTGCCTCTTCCCATGGTTGAATGAACACCTTCCATGCCCTCTTCTGGGTTTCTTGAGATGCTAGGTGATTCATTAGCTGAAATTTCTCTCTCTGAACAAAGAGTAAGCTCAGTCTGTTCAGCATGGCTCTATATTTAGAAAATATTGCTGAAATAGTTGTGATTCCAAGAGAGTTAGGGCAGTACAAGCCCCTTCTCCCACATCCTTTGGACTTTCAAATCTCCCACAAGCAACTGCTTTCACAGGAATGCAAGGGGGACTGTGAGAGAGGGTAGCCAGGTGAGGGGTGCAGCTGAAGCACTTGCAGGTGTAGACATTGGGCAGCTGCACCTGAAACAAAATGGCTCATTTAGATGCACCGCACTACTGCTATTTAGACCAGTGTAGTCCGACCAGCTCCATTAGAAATGAGACAAGTCTTCAGTGAAGAGGCACCCAAAGATTTTTTTGAATGTGATGAATCTCCATATTCACTTCCTAAAAATTGCCTTGATATCAAGATTTCTTACTTGGTTGTTTGAAAACCCTTGTATCGCACTTGCACTGAAATTCTAATTTCTAGCATCAGTCAGTTACCAATCAAATGAGCACAACTTTAAGATCAAGCAGAAACTGGACTAATCAGGGAAAAATTCATATTGAAATACAAAATTCTTCCATAATCTGGAGAAACTTATAGAAAGTTACAGACAACACAGATTGCTGTTGGCACAAATGTTCTCATTTTATAGTATATTCATGCAGTCTGCACTAGTATGAAAGTTCCTTTTTAATTGCATAACAGTTATTGGAGAGTGTTTGCCCATGACCAAAACAGTAGTAGGAATATAGCAGAGATACTTAAACAATCCTCTGCAGCCTCCTGTGGGACCAAGACAATGTTCTGCCATGGAAAACATATTGCTCACATTTTAGTCTAATGATGTAACACGGATTTTAAATGTCACATGGTCACACAGCATCCTAATAGTATCTCTTGGGGAAAATATTTTCCCTAAGACAATATCAAGGATCCTTAGAAATAGAAACACACACAAAAAATATTAGGAGAGGATCCGCCTCCATCTGCAGATTGCCAGCAGCTGCAAGTTGTCACATAGATATATTGATTTAATTAGTCTGGCTAAAAGTATCATCCTTTTTCTTCAAGCAGTGATACCACTGAGTTCTCAGTGTTTTTAGGTACCATACTGCACAATTCTCAGCCACTGCATGTAACTTTTAGCAGAAAAAGCACTCAAATAGTAGTTATCTGAGGAATACTGTGCTTATAGCTCCCCAACCTGCCTTCATTTATTGGGTGTTAAGAAACCCAGTCTCCTTACTCCCTGTCAGGAAGAAGAAAAGAAAGAAAGTTAGTTCTACTCTACAACTTTTGGGGGAGAGTAAGGGGCAGGAGTTGGGAAAGGGGACGAACTGTGCATCTGTCTTTATTGGCTCCAACTCCAGTACAATGAGATCCACATTTCTCATGTAATTTATCCTGTTAAGGCTGTAAAAAGTCAGCAGAGGCTAGAGAATTACTACCCTTGTGTTCCCACTAGAATCTTGGTCGGTGTTTCCTGCCTCAGTTGAAGTTTGCAGGATAGACTGTCTCCTCAGTTTCCTAATCATAGGAAATAGGAAGTAGACGTCTTCCCTGAGGGCAGCGGTGATTCAGTCGCATTAGAAACAAGAGCATTCTTACTAGGGGCAGCCTCACCTTCACCTGGCAAGTAGAATTCTCAAATGTACAGCGTTTGAGCTGAATCAGGTTCCCATCTCTGTCCAAATATTGTTTAGTCTGTGGGAAGATACACAGAGCTGGGAGCCAGGAGATCATGAATTCAGATCTCATCTATACCACACACTGTTTATATTTCTGTGCAGTCCTACCTTTGGACTCAGGACAATCCCATTTCACTAATAAATTACCTGAGGGATTGCATAAGGTTCCTTTTAGCAGAGCTAGGAGTAGAACCCACCTCTCTAATATTCCCAAATTGATACATTTTTAAGACCAGAATGGACCACTATAATTATCTAGTCTGATCTCCTGCACAACACAAGCTAAAGAATCTCACCCAGTAATTCTGGCATCAAACCCATAACTTGAGCTATAGCATATTTTTTAGATAAATATCCATTCTTGATTTAAAGTCTTCATGTGACAGACACAGGGTGGATTTTCTATGTGAGTTGTTCCAATGGTTAATTACACTCACCCTTAAAAAAATTTGTACTTTATTCCTAGCTTGAATTTATCTAGCTTCAGCTTTCAACCTTGGGATTTTGTTATGTCTTTTTCTGCTAGTTAAAGAGCTACTGTCAGAAATCTCTTCCCCATGTAGGTACTTGAAGACAGTGATCAAGTCATCTCTTAATCAAAGTAGATTGAGCTTCATAAGAGATGTTTTCCAGACTATGAATCATTCTTGTAGCTTTTTTTTTTTTTTTTTTTTTTTTTTTTCTTGTAGCTTTTTTTTTTGGAAGCCTTTCCAATTTTTCAACGTCCTTTTTTTTTTGAAGTATGGACTCCAGAACTCAACACAGTATTCCAGTAACTGTCTCACTAATGCTGTATACAGAGATAATACCACTTCTCTACTCGTACTCAATATTTCTCTGCTTATACATGGAAGGATTATGTTCATGATCTTAGCTACAGCATAAACAACATGAGCTCCCAAGGTAATCTATCGTTACCATTAAGTCCTTTTTTTGAAGTCACTGCATTCTAGAATACAGTCCCTAATCTTATACGTATTGCCTACATTCTTTGTTTCTAGATGTAATTATAATACAATCTAAGGTCATACCTTTACATCATACAATGAGGAAACATTCTTTAAAAAATGTCCTATTATGAGAAAAGATGATCTGTCATTTATGGTACAGTAGGCAGAAACACACAAATTACATTTGGTCATTTGTCATACGTTTTGGTGGCTTGTATCACACATGAAGGTTTTAAAGTTGAGAGGTACGCTGGCTTTAGTGAAAGGGTGGCTTCATTACAGTTGGAAACAATGGAAAATGATGACCATCTTTTATTGGTGACCATACAATAAATGGAAAAAACAGTTTTTTTCCCCCCCACTAACTTGTTTTATTTATAATAATCGTAGGTGTTACTTTTCTGTGTAGGTACAAGTTAGTCAGGCTTCAATATGATTTTTCAAGTTGAAAGTTTTCTTTTTCAAACTTTACTAAGCCTATACAAATGCCCATGTGAAACATATTTGCTTCACATATACCCCAAATGAACAGGTATAATGCTGATTGTGTAGATACTAGATGCAAAAATCTTGCTAATGAAATAATATGAATGAAGGTAAGTGTTGAGCTCAGTTATATCGTTTAAACAATATTCAATTTAAATATGAACTCTGGGTTTAATTTGTATAGTGTCATCAGTGTACTGTAAGATTTAAATCAAACACACAACTTCTAAGTAACTCAGAAAGTTTAGAAGGCTGCAGTGAATGAAATAGCCAAGACACATCTCTATGTACATAAACATTCTGAGAAGTGAAGTATAAAGTTCACTATGCACTCTGGAGAGTATGTTAAAATTATACATTCTTTTTCAGAAGAGTTGAATGACATTTAAATGACATTTCTCTTGTCCTACAGAAATCAAAGGAAAATGCTAGAGTAATTTGTAAGCGCTGCAAGGCAATGCTGGGAGAGACAGTATCATCAGGTATGGATTACACAAACAAAACCATACTTGGTTGGCTCACTCACTAAACACTAGAGGTTAAAAGTTCTGGAGAAAAATAATTTATCAATAGGATGCTGAGTTGATTCCTGTGGGTTCTTCTCTTTCACTTCTGAAAGGGTGAGATTGTTTCCACTGTCAAAACTATGAGGTTATTGGCCCCAGTAATTTATTTTGATCCTTGTTTATGTAGTGCATCTGGCCATATTGTTCTCTGTATTTTAACACTTAGCAAAATGAATGTTCCTTTTTATATGTTTGAACCATGCCGCTTGCTCTGTTATAAAGTGGATTTGTAGCATAGACCCGGAGTTGTGATATGAACAACTCTGAGCTGAAATAATGGTTAGAGATTTAAATATGAACACAAGCATTTAGATTTAGCTTTTAAAAGATATCTACCTAGAATATCATGGACACATTTGCAATTAATCGTGGAATGCATACTTTGTGTACTTTAGTAAATTTTGTTTAGTATATAGATTAGGTCTGAACTACATAACTAATATAAGCTCAAGTATGCAGTTTGTCTTTCGTATAGTCCCTCTAAACAAAATAAGGTAGAATAAACTTTTTATAGATCATGTGCAAATGTTAATTTCTTTGAACAAAAATTTACTTCCTATCAACTATAACTAATACAGTAGAAAAGGCTATAAAGTCTCATAGCTCAAAAGTTGGCAAAAACTGTGTGAAGTTGATTCATTTGAAATTTGTTAGTCACCTTAATTAATCAATCTATAAGAAATTAACATTGAAGTACTGTGGTGTTTTATCTTAGTGTATTTAAAATGTTCTGGACTAAATGTTCAAATTAATAGTCTTGTAGACAATATTTGTTAGTAATATTTGTACAGAGGAGTAATTTATATGCATGTTTGCAAAAACATATTGTAAAATAGGAGTTCATAATATGTGTCCAGACTGTGTTAATACTGTTATGTATATCTATAGATCTGTAATATTATATATAAATATTTGAGTTGCGATTTATTGCCTGGGAGTGGTATGTATTATTTATTTATATTATATAAAGGATATAAAATGTGCACGATGCTGTACAGATCTATAGGAAGATAAGGTCCCCCCGTCCCAAAGAGCTTAAAAATCTGTAAAGACAAAGACAGATAAAAGGGTGGGAGAAAAGGACTTGTCATATAAGCAGTGTGGTCAGGGTGAAGGCTGTTAGTTCCATTAAAAAAATATAAATGTTAATTTTTTATATATATATATATATATATATATATATATAATATGAGTTACCTAGACATTTGTTAGTTCTGATTTTTGTTACGTTAACTGCCACTATTTTTGTTACTTTGGTTTTTAATCCTTACCTATTATTTCTTTTTTAATTTTAATTTTTTCCTACTTTCAGTATATTAATTAAACCTTTACAATGCGGCACTCTGAGGAGTGAGGGCATTACTGCCCACTGGTCACTTTCAGTGCAGGAGCACTAGTTTTAACTAGAAGTTTAAACTACTTCAATCTACACGCTGTATTATACCTTGTAAAATATAATTGTCCTAAATGCGTTGCAGCTTTAATTGCCCTCTGAGAAATCAAATTTCTCTCACCATTAGTAAAAATTCGGGGACAACTACCTTGGTAAATGTAAAATAAAATTTTCCTCTGTTTTCAGTTTTTGTGCCTGACATTTGCTTTAAGATTTTACTTTCTACATTGTTGGGCCAATCTCCTGGTGTCCTGAGGAGTGTTTGGCAGACTGGTTATTTATTATTTTCACTAAGCTTTTTGTTTCCTATGATGGAACTGACAAATATAAAAAGGAGAGAAATGTCAGTGCTGCATTAAATGTAGAATAAGCAGGTCTCAAATACAGAGCCTATCTATGCTTAATGTGCTACTGCATCAAACTAGTTCTGTGATGAGGCTCTATTTTAGGTCATACTGTCATTTGATTGGCACCCATGACAACATGGATAACAACATTGGTACAAAACTATTTTAAGTCTCAGTTAATTGGATTGCAAATGCATTGTCCCAGTCAACACTGAAAGAAAGACTAGAATGTGGTTTAACTAGGAATGTGGTTTAACTGGGCCACAACTTTTATTAAGTAACACATCTGGGAACTATTTGGCAATAACTCATCCAGTGAAGATCATCCATCCTTTGTAATCCTGGTGAAGAGCTGCTTCAGCGCCCTCACTCCTCCATTCCACCTCCTAGAGGACTACCGTCAGCCCTTCACCCTGTTAAACGAGTCCTAGCACAATCGGACCCCACTGCCCTCCCCTTGTACAAGAGGTAAAGGGTTGGGGAAGAGGTGGTTGTCTCCTCACTGTGCAAGACATTGGAAGCCCCAGCCCTGTTACCCGCCTTCTTTAGGAGATGCCTTCTAATCTGCTTCCAGTTCTGGTTTATCAGGGAACTAGACACCCTATTGACTGAGTACCTGTACTGGACACCTGCCAAGTTGTGACAAAATGAATTTTACAACCTCACCTACCTTCTAGATCCTGGGGCTCCTAAGAGGAAGGTGAAAAAACCCACACTGTCCAGGCCAGTCTGACAGTGAGAGAAAATTCCTGGTCCTGCTTTAATCCCAGGTCAGGGAAGGGGAAGTTTTTCTTCTTAGAGCAGAATGGTGCCCCAGAGCAAGGGCAAGGGTTTATAAGTGCTCCCCATGTGTTTGCAGGAGCCGATAGGCTTATGTTGAATCCTTCTGTCTATCCAATCAGCAACCATGCCCTTCTTAAGCCCACAAGGAAGCTGAGTGCTCATTGCTGGCTCAGAGAAAGCCTCCCCATGTCTGAGGCTGCAGTCGGGGGGGAATGCAGGGAACAGAGCCATAAATAAGTGTTGTTTGTTGTTCATAGTGGTATAAGCCTAGTAGTGAACCAGGTCCCCACTGTGTTAGGTGCTGTACAAACACAGAACAAATGATGGTCCATACCCCAAAGGGCTTCAGACTGAGACAAGAGATGACAGATGCAGACAGACAGAGGCTCTGACCCAATGGGCCTCATGTATTTCTGCTGCAGAAAAGGGCTAGCTATGATCTGAAGAGCTTGCACAGGAATTTTTAACCTAACTAGTGCATCATGGAGTTCTACTGCTCTGGCACTTGTGCTTCCATGCATGGGGAAATGATTGGGAGGGGCTCATCTAATATATATGCCAAAAAGCCCAGACTTTGCCCTTTACCTTTTCTATGAAAAAATCACTTGGTGGCTAGAGAATAAAGTGACTCCCTTAGATCAACTCACGTAATTCTCAGCCCTGAAATCGTTTGAACAAACAGCACAACCATACAAATTCCAAAAATCTGATTTTAGAAATATGAATTTTTATCTCTCTTTACTACTGTCTCCACACCAGCTGCCTGAGCAGACATACAGCTACCAGTGTCTAACTTTAAAGATACACTGTATAGGCTCAGATGGTCAGATCTACAGTGCTAATCGCCAAACTCTAAACAGTGCTGAAAGATGCTGAAATAGACAAGTTATGTACTACTTCTACATCTCTGTATTCGCCAACAAAATGAATTTATTCAGCCACAACTTCTGCTAAAAAGGATATGAGCAAATGATTCACCAGGCGCGCGCGCACACTTTCTGGGACTGCCCGCATACCCAAATAGTCTAGTCCCACTAGCATAAAAGCTTACATGGAACTTTTGAAACACACTTTGGTATAAGCAAAAGGTTCTAAGGGACTCTCCTCAAACCTTCATAACAAAGAATGATGCTAATTCAGATTATTAATAGCCACAAGGAAGTGTATTACTAGATTACTTCTCATGAAAGAGAATCCCAAAATTGTGATTTGTTGCGCCAGACAATAGAAGAAACAAAACTTCTGCTCAAATTCCAATGTCCTAAAACCAGGCTGAAGTCTTTATATTTTAGTTCCTAGCATTCAAGGACAAATAAAGGCACTGAACTGGGATACTGATACTCATGCAGAATGACTCTGCCCCGGATATCCATGCATCTACCTGCAAGAAACCCCAGATTTGCAATATCTGCTCACAGATGTATAGCAGTGCTACAGTTGTTTGTACTTGTTTTTGTACCTGGAACTAGCCATATTGTATTAGCTGCTTGTGTACAAAAGTGTATACAGGTGAGTCGCATCATACGCGCATTTAACTTACGCGAATTCAACTATACACGCTCGGCAAAAAAAAGAAAAACAACAAGATACCTGTAAATAGTGCGGGCGATTCCACCCAGCATTCCACTCAATGAGCGTATGCCCCGGAGTGAGCGTGAGATGGGAGACATGAATCTGCTGTTCCCTCAGTCGGTCTCAGTTCCCGCGTGCCTCTCATAGTGTGAGCATCTCGCTGCGCTGAGTGTGATTCTAGTGGTTAAAGATACGTATTTTTCATAGAACATGGCCCCTAAACGCAAGCCAACTACTTCATCTGGTGCTCAGCCGAAGAAACAGCGATCTGTTCCAACGCTGGAGGAAAAACTGGCTGTGTTGGACTTATTGAGAGGCGGTATGTCGGTCTCCAACGTGGCGCGTAAATATGGCCGCAACGAATCTAGCATCTGTGCCATCAAGATTCGAGAGAGAGAAATTCGTCAAGCCGTGGCATCAAGTGCTCCAATAACTGCTAAGGTGACGAGCCAGGTATGTGATAAGACTTTAGTGACGACTAAAAAGGCATTAAACTTATGGCTGGAAGACCTGAACCGTAAACGTGTGCCTATCGATGGCAACATGTTGTGAGAAAAGGCTCTTAGCCTCTACATGCTGTTCAAACCTCCTGCCGAAGAGGGACAGCTTCTGATGAGAAGGAATTCAAAGCCAGCCAAGGTTGGCTTAACAGTTTTAGGAACCGCTTCAACCTGAAAAACGTGCAGACTACTGATGAAGCTGCATCTGCCAATGAAGAGGCAGCAAAAGCCTACCCCGAACAATTAAAGAAAATCATAGAAGAAAAGGGCTATCTTCTGGAATAAGTTTTTAATGCTGACGAGACTCGGCTGCTCTGGAAAAAAATGCCCAACCGCACTTACATTTTGAAATCAGAAGGACAAGCCCCTGGCGTCAAAGCAGCTAAAGACCGTGTCACTGTGTTGTTTTGTGGAAATGTGGCTGGGCATTTAATAAAGCCGGGCTTGCTCTACTGGGCTGCAAATCCCCGTGCCCTAAAAGGCAAGAACAAAAATCTCCTGCCTGTGTTCTGGCAATCAAATAAAAAGGCTTGGGTGACGGCAGCATTATTTCTGGATTGGTTCCACAAGTGTTTCATTCCGGAGGTCAAGCAGTACCTCGAAGAGAAAGGACTCGGCTTTAAAGTGTTGCTGATCGTAGACAATGCTCCTGGCCACACTGCAGCACTCCGGTTTGCACATAACAACGTTGAAGTCGTCTTTCTCCCCCCCCAATACCATCTCCATCCTCCAACCTCTCGACCAAGGCATGATTCGCTATTTCAAGGCCACATACATGAGGCTTATGTTCTCATGGATACGTAGCGCTATGGATGCTGATCCCAATCTTAATGTGATGGAGTGTTGGAAGTCCTTCAACATTGCCGATTGCATCACTTATATTAAACAGGCAATGGATGCAATCAAGCCTGAAACAGTCAATGCATGTTGGCCAAACCTATGGAAAGAATGTGTGAATGATTTTAAGGGTTTCCCGACCATTGACAAAGAAGTGAAACGCATTGTTCAGGTGGCCAGGCAAGTGGGTGGTGATGGCTTCGTCGACATCCTTGAGAAAGAAATTGAAGAATTAATTGAGAGCCATAGAGAAACACTGACTAACGAAGAGTTAGAGGAACTGATAAAATTGTCTACAGAAGACGAAGATGATGACGATGAACAGGAAGAGCCAGCAAGTTGGAATCTTCATAAATTTGCTGAAGTGTACCAAGCAGCGAAACACTTGAATGATTTAATTTCTGAATACGATCCCTCTATGGAACGAAGCCTCAAAATCATACGTAGTATTACGGACGATTTGAGACCGTATCAAGAAATGTTTGAGCAGCTCAAGAGACAACAGCAACAGTTGCTAATCACCATGTTTTTCAAGGAAAAACAACCAGCAGCAAATAAGCCTACGCAATCAACTTCTTGAGCTGAACCAGAGCCAACCACTTCGTCTACGACTCGCTGTCCGTCACCCAAGCTTTCTGTCACCTCTGTCTCCTGGATCGACATCAAGCCCTGACGACCCCCTGTAATTACCCCCTGTAATTAAAAATACAGTACTGTAAAATTATATTTTGCATATGTACTCTTTATTATATACTGTACATTACTGTATACATTATACATTTATACATATTACTATACAGGGTTGTATACTCAAAACCATATACTATACTTTATGGACGATTTATGGGATTTTCAAGGGTAATTTTGACTATATGCGATTTTTCGCCTTACGCGCTGATTTTAGAACCTAACCCCCGTGTAAGATGCGACTCCACTGTATGATGCAACTGTGGGGGGGGGGCGGGGAAGGTTTTTCTTTTTCTATTCTTTTTTCTATCTCCCCACTTAAAACATTATATTGTCTTTGTTTATGTTTATGGAAGTAGGTACTTAATAAATGCACTTATCTAGCAACCTATAAATAGCTTGTAAAATACAATCTGTGTTCATAAATAAAATATTTTTTCTTTTATACCTACAAAAATATTTTAAAAGAAAAAGATAACCTGGATGGAAGCAGCTATGTCTGCAAAGCTGAAGAAATTCCTCTTCTGACTTTTTTTTTTAAATGTCTGCACTTGAAGTGTGGGTCCTGTACGTATCAATACAGAGAGGGCCAGTGTCCTGAGTTAACCTAACTTTGTTACAGAGAAGTATTGTTTCCACTCTTTGAAGAAAGAAGAAAATTAGTCCCCTTAGTTTACTCTTGTTAGAGCCGTGTGTTTGTTATTCACTGGGGAATCATTGGCTGGTAGAGGATACTGAAGTACTGACATAAGTTACACTGATTTTAGTCCATTAAGTGTTTTCCATTTCTTGTTCAAGGTTGGCACAGCAATAATAAATAATGGACAGGAGTTTTTAATTGGTATCAGCAAGCATTTAAATATATAACATGTTTTTAAAATGGTCACTACAGGGGTTTTGGCTCCTGCCCACTCTGGATTTATATGGGATCCAGGGGGAAATGGTTGTGCTTGATGTTAAATAGGGAATGATACAGATGGCAAAATATTGATCTTGTGATTAGCTCCAAAAAGAGCTAAAGCGATATTTCCTTTTGGCCATGTCTGATTTCTTTACCAGTTACCCAGCTCCTCCTCCTACATGTCAAAACAACAATTCGGACATCTCTTCCACCATTTAATTGGATGCTGATCTAGGAGTTTAGTAAATGTGATGATGCATTATATTACTGTAGAAAATAAGTGTACTGTTTTATTGAGTTGTAAAAATTTCCTTTTGTCTGATTTTTAGGGACTACAAAATATTACGTCACTGAGATGATTATTCAGCAATCTGGAACAAATTTTGACATGATACCAAGGTATAGAAATCAGATAATGTGCTCAGTTTGGTTATTGGAACAATGTTGTTGAGTGGTAAAGATTAATCTTTTTGGATAGTTACTTTTTTGGTATTTAATTAAATATTATGCTAATAAAGTATTAAGTCTGCACTGTTAAAATAACAGAGTTAGGAAATGCAAAAGCATTCTTAACTGAGCCATATAGTATACCTGCTGTGTCTTGTGATCTCTTTTCTAATTGAATGCATAGCTTTATATATTACCGTTTGTTGTAAACCGCGTACCATATAGTACAGATGGCATTACGGAAAGTCAAATTAACTTTGTAGTTGGAACCTTAAGTTTTTTACATTGTTTGACTTTTGGTGACTAAATATGCAATCTTTGTTACTTTGCTAAATTTATGCAATGCTTTCATATAATTGCTAATTACAAGCAATTAGGGTTTTTCAGCAAGACAAGATAGCACATTAGCCAATGGTTAACAGGTTACATAATGTCTCTGCCCATGGTCTTAAGTTAGCAAGTTAACATTTAATTAATACTTTGATAAAATGTTATTAGTATAAAATATATAGATGTTGAATTTTGATTTGGGGTTCATAGGAATGAAGCAACTCCTTTGATTGTCCAACAGGTACATTCCTAGGGGTTAAAACAAAGAAACAGTGAAAGTATATGGCAATAAAGATTGTCTCCTTTGTGTTTTAAGGCAGGTGGGAGGATGCCATATCTTATACTGATGTGCCAACCTTTCATAAACTTAAGGTTGAATCTGTGGAAAGAACGTCTCCCTACAGAAGAAACTAATACAATAGGAACAGGGATTCTTTGTTCAATTTGAAACATAATTATTCAGTTATTGCTTCAACATCTGGCATTTCTACTGACCAAGCATATCTTAAAAAAGGCAATGTTATCTTGTTTATTCTGCTTTCTCTTAGCTAATCACTATTTGCTAGACCTCTGGTCTCTTGACCAAACTCTGGACTTTGGGTCTGGAAAATAGCTGGCACAATCCATGTACCAGGTTGTTATATAAAATGCACATGAATTTTAACCCTTCACCATATATTTAAAGTTTTCTTAGGGCTCACTGGGTATCAATGGCTAAGTTTTGTAAAATATAGTTACTATGAAAATATTCTGTGAAGACTGATTTATTTTAAAACAGGTCTCAGTTTGTACAGAACATTATAGCTCAGTGTCTCGTGGAACTGTCCTCTGCCAGAAGCACATTTAGATTCAGAATACAAGGGCATGATGGAAAAGTCTACATCTTGGTAAGGCATTTTCTTATAATTGTATAGAAATATATTCATGAGTGTGAACTCCTGACATTTATTCATTGGTTATTATGTGTTTGCTTATGTGTGTAAGGGAAATGAGAAAAAGGAGTTGATCATTCAAATGTATCAGTTGGTGTGCCTGCCTGCCTTTGAGTCTCTTTCAGTTTTTTCTTTTTAGTTTGGGGCATTCAGCAATGGAAATTAAGAACCCACTTGAATTTTTTAGACTAAAAGCTCATTGAAATCTCAAGCAGTTAGTCCAAAGTACTGTACACAGCTGTGCTGTTTACATAGAAGTATGTAGTCTTGTCTGTTTATAATATTTTTATGACTGAGGAAATAAAAAATATTGTGGAGCCTTATATCTGATACACTTGGGCTGCACCCCTCTTCCTGGAAATGTTTGAAATAGCTCAGACTTGTCCAGGAGCCTCTGGGGTGTGGGCACATCCCTTCTGTCCTCATCCCAATTAATTCTGTCTCTGGAAGAGCAAACAGAGTAGCAATTCAGTGTTCTGCCTTATCCACTACCGTCCTATCTTTTAACTCTTAACTTCAACTAGCACTGCCAGAATCATTTCCTTACATTTCTTTTCCCCATGGGGGCCCAAATTTATGGGGCTATGACCCCTGAACAGAACCAGCTGCTGAGCATCTTACCTCCACTCTCCCTATCCCCGTTATGGTGCAGCAGGCCACGTTAATAGAAGACAGAAAGCCAGGAGGTGCTCCCATTGTGAGGAGGCCCTCTTAAAAGCCACAGGTGGGGAGGTCTGCCACAGCTGACCCTCAGCTTCTCAGGGAAATAGGTAGTGCTTTGGGATCTCTGTATCCTCCAACACTAATCAAGACTTCTCTGGTGACACCTTTACAAGAGCTGTTCAGTTCTCTTCAACACTTGGGACTCAACTTGGGCCAAACCAACTTCACCAATTGGGGATTTTCCAGGGCTAAGCCCAAAAATTGCCCTAAAACCACTTCAAAAGGCAGAAAGTCCAGGGTCCTCTCCCATGTCCTTAAATGACTGATGGTACATTGGCAAGAAGTATGGCATTCTTTCCTTTACCTTCTTTTTCAGAAAAAGAGGATCTGGGCTCCCTCAGGGATGCATCCTTGTATTTCAGAAATGTTTGGATAATAGAGTACGAGGAACTCAACTCCTTGCCCCTGCTGATTTTGTGCCAGCCTTGTGGAATACGTGGATCATAGATTACAAGACCAGAAGGGACCAATGGGCTTGACCAGTCTGACCTCCTGAATGATGCAGGCCATAGAACTTCCCCAAAATTATTCCTAGAGTAGATCTTTTAGAAAAACATTCAATCTTGATTTAAAAATGGTCATTGATGGAGAATCCACCACGACTGTTGGTATATTGTTCAAATGGTTAATTACTCTCACTGTTAAAAATTCACATCTTATTTCCAGTCTGAATTTGTCTAGCTTCAACTTCCAGACATTGGATCTTATTATATCTTTCTCTGCTAGATTGAAGAGCCTGTTATTAAATATTTGTTTCCCATGTAGATACTTATACACTGAATCAGATCCTTCTGGTATGTTCAGGCTAACCAGGCATATCTTCATTACCAACTTTAATTTGTCATAGTATTAGAGATCTAAGCTTTTTGGACCCATGACATTGTGCCTTTAGCCAAACAGGTTCTGTTCTGCTTCTCTCTCCTTCCCTACTGATTTTCGCTTCTTGCTCACTGTGTCCCAAATATCTTGGATTGTGGATAAGCTGAGGATCCAAAGGATACTTGTTTACCTAATTGTCTTCCTAGGACCAGCCTCTTTTTCTACTACACCCAACCAAGGTCCATTTACCTAATGAACACAACTGAATAACACATTGCTATTCCGAATTTACATTTATTGAGCAATAAGAATTAAATGTTTCAATATAGTTTTATAAGCATTCCTCTCATGCAAGATGCATAGTCAGACTTTGGAGCCTTGTGGAGAAGTCTGAACTGTCTCTAGTATTTGCAGGAAGGGGGCCAGTGCTTCACACTGGGGAAGAGTTCAGTCCTAGACAAGAAATCACTGGGTAACAATATTTTCCCCATTAATTGACACAATTACTTTTAAATGCAGAAACCTTTCTTTAAAAAAGATTTATTTTTAGGAAGAGTACCATAGATATGCCACACAGCTGTCTACACCAAGAAAATATTGAACATTTAAGGTTTGCCTGATGTGAGATATCTCAACTTCAAGTGCTCAATCTTTGGAGGGTGGGTGGGCTTTAATCACTAGTAGAGGTCCAACAGATTTTTGCAGTTTCTTTGCACAAAAGAATTTTGTGCACAGAAGGCTATTTATACGGTGTCAGTATGTGTGCTGCATTGCAAGTTAGTTACAAATAAAAACAAATTGCCAATTAACATCATTACAGCAGTTAACATAGACAGATTCTAACTAAGCATAAAACGCTAGCTCAGCAAGGTGAGACACTTTGACTTTAAAGCAGTGATAGTGGAGCCCCCAAGCATTTAAAGTTTCACTGTCTTTGACTGAATTGGCAAATAAATATCACACACGAGTGAAGGTTATGAATACATTTTGGGATAACAAAAAAACAAAATGGTCAGATACATACATAAGACTTCAAAGTCCAGATCTCAAGTTCTTAGTATTGGTGAGTTTGCTGGCTGGAAAGTCCCTCTGGAACACATGCACAACTTGGATGGGCCATTCAGTCCTTTGTTCAGAGCTTCAGTTTATAGAAAAGTTATTCCAGAGGTAGGAAGCAGGATTGAAAACAAAATGGAGAAGATGCATCTGCCTTTTTATATCCTTTGCTATGTGGCTTGTACTTCCTTTGCCCCAAACACAAACATACAGCACACGTGGGCATGGAAAAGCAGAGTCCCCTGTCCACCAGCATGTCCCTACATGTCCTGCTGACTCGTAGGTGTAACCCCTGCCTTCTCTCAATGGGTTCATTGTATATCTGATTGCCTTTGATAGACGATCAAGTAGGCTGGATAGTGCTGATGCCGATCTGTCTTGGGAGAGGTGTCACCCAGAAGCACAGCACAAGTTTGAAATGCAAATATACCATACATATTTATAACTCACAATACAAGGATGATACTTACATATAAATGTGATTATCATATTTAGCGAGTTATAACTTTTCCACTGAAACCTTACATGGCATATCTGTAGGGCTCTACCAAATTCACGGCTGTGAAAAATGCATCACGGACCGTGAAATCTGGTCTCCTCCCATGAAATCTGGTCTTTTGTGTGCTTTTACCCTATACTATACAGATTTCACGGGGGACGCCAGCGTTTCTCAAATTGGGGGTCCTGACCCAGTAGGGAGTTGCGGGGGTGGGGGGGTATTGCCACCCTTACTTCTGTGCTGCCTTCAGAGCTGGGTGGGTGGAGAGTGGCAGCTGTTGGTCAGATGCCCAGCTCTGAAGGCAGCGCCTCCAGCAGCAGCGCAGAAGTAAGGGTGGCAATACCATATCGTGCCTCCCTTACTTCTGCGCTGCTGCCTTTCGACCTGGACGGCCAGAGAGTGGTGTCTGCTGACTGAGGGTCCAGCTCTGCAGGCAGCAGCACAGAACTAAGGGTGGCAATACCATACCATGCTTACTTCTGCACTGCTGCTGGCGGTAGCTCTGCCTTCAGAGCTGGGCTCCTGGCCAGCAGCCGCGGCTCTCCAGCTGCCCAAATCTGAAGGCAGTGCTGCCACCAGCATCAGCATAGAAGTAAGAGTAGCAGTACCGCAATCCCCACTACAATAGCCTTGCGACCCCCCCCCCCCCAACTCCTTTTTGGGTCAAGATCCCTACAATTACACCACCATGAAATTTCAGATTTAAATAGCTGAAATCATGAAATTTATAAGTTTTAAAATCCTAAGACCATGAAATTGACCAAATGGAGTGTGAATTTGGCAGGGCCTTACATATCTGGTAAGACTCATTACAATTTTACAATATTGGTATCAATATCATAAAGTGTCTCACATATTCTATATAGCTTGTCACAGTCTAAGAGTCACTGAAAGTTCTTGTAGCACTTCTCTTTATGTTACATATTTCTGAGGCACCTATTTCTTTCATATCTAAGTCCATCGGTCTATGTGAAGTGAGTCAATCCAATTCCTACAGGATAAATGTCTCTGTTATACAAATCACCATCATAATTGGCTCTAATTTGCATCCTTGCTGTCATTTTGAGCCGAGTAGTGAGACTGAATGGGTACCGAAGTTGACTTACCTTACCGACCCGAATGATGTTCCCTCTGTGTCATGCTTGTGGCATAGTAGCAGGACTATATGGGGAAGCTAGCACTGTTTTTTCTTAGGTTTTCATTACGCAAGCTGTAACTGTTCTGTTAGTACAGAGTATGTCGCTTTCCAGGGCTGTCAAATGGACACTGTTGATAAATTCTAAATATACTTTATTTTTAAGTATTGCTGTAGCAGTTTTTTTTTCTTACCAATGGTTAAATTCAAGGAAATTTGGGAATCCAGACACTGCACGGGGAAGAGAAAAATCTATGTAGTATCCATAAAATAGCTGACAGCTCAGATCAAAATATACAAACATACTAGCCAGAAGTAACATGCATAAATGCTTAGAATCAGAACACAGAAACTGAATTTGGGACTGTTCGTATAGGTCAACAACCAGGTCAGAAATAAAATAATTAATGCTGGGGAAAAGGAAAATGCTGAAAGAAAATAAACAAGTTAGAAACAAGTCAGAAACTGACAGCTTAGAAGATGCAGAAATAGTGCCTTTCCTCCAACAGACTCAGATTTCTGCTATATAATGCATATTCAAACATCAATACAAATCTGTTTGATCTTTGCTAACATAAGACATGCTTTGACAAAGTGGTAGTAATCTGTGGCTTTTGTCCCACAGTATTATAATGTGTAAACAGAAGCACTTTTCAGCTGGATCCAGCTGCCAAGTGAAACTGATTAATAATCTTTAAAATAGGGTGCAAAAGAAACTGTGAAAGGAGTAGACATATGTTGACGGTATATCCTCTAGATTAGAGTGAAGGATGCTATTCGCTTTCTACTCCTGGGGTAATTCTGTGCCAAAAAATTAAAAAACCTGTGCACAATCTTTTAACATTTTGCAAAATTCTGCATATTTTATTTGTCAAAATAACACAATATAATCATGCCAGTTTCAATTATTTTGGTAATTTATTTCAAAATGCCTGTCAGCAAGTATGTCTGTAACAATACAGATAACAACAAAGTTTCAGGAAATATTTTTTGACAGATTTCTTGCTAGGCATATTAATACAGAACTTAACAAAACTTATTTCCCGCACCCCTCAGAAGCAGTGCAAAGGCGTGGGGGAATCAGAGGTAATTGAGGAGCTGAGGGAGAGGGAAGTAAATGCTGGGAAGGAGCCTGGGAGTAAACCTGGAGGGTTGTTGGTGTGGGTGAGAGAAGTATGGAACAGGTTATTTTGGGGGAGAGGAATTGTTGGGGATCCTTCCCCAGGCAGACCCTCGCTGACCCCTAGCCTCTCCCATTCAGTCAGAAACATCTGCTCCCGTCCCCATGTATCCCTGGACCCCCGTTCAGCCACCCTGTCCCCATGTGGCCCTGCCCCCCTATTCCCATTCAGCCCCTCCCCCAGTCTGTCCCCCCCACTAGCCCTTCTGAACCCCAATCTATGTGACCCCCCCAGCAGCCCTGTCTGTACCCCCCTCCCCATCCCCGGCCACTGTGAGGAACGCAGCCAGCTGCTGGCTGCTACTGCCAGTGAGCCTGCTGCTCTCTGTTCTGGTGCCACAACAGCCCCTGATGGGCAAAAGGTGTAACTGCAGCACCTCTCTGGTAGAATGTATTTTCTGCGGAGAAAAAAAATCTGCGGGAGACATTAATTCTGTGCTTGCGCAGTGGCACAGAATTCCCCCAGGTGTAATTTTCTGAAGATTCTAGAAGTACTCTGAAAGGGGAAGGGAGAACATATGTGGTGAGTGTTTGCGAGTAAGGGACTTGTATTATCATTGAATCATAGGACTGGAAGGGACCTCGAGAGGTCATCTAGTCCAGTCCCCTTTACTCATAGCAGGACTAAGTATTATCTAGACCATCCCTAATAGGTGTTTGTCTAACCTGCTCTTAAAAATCTCCAAAGATGGAGATTCCACAACCTGCCTAGGCAATTTATTCCAGTGCTTAACCACCTTGACAGTTAGAAAGTTTTTCCTAACGTCCAACCTAAATCTCCCTTGCTGCAATTTAAGCCCATTGCTTCTTGTCCTATCCTCAGAAGTTAAGAAAAGCAATTTTTCTTCCTCCTCCTTGTAACAACCTTTTATGTACTTGAAAACTGTTATCATGTCCCCTCTCAGTCTTCTCTTTTCCAGACTAAACAAACCCAATTTTTTCAATCTTCCCTCATGGGTCATGTTTTCTAGACCTTTAGTCATTTTTTGTTGCTCTTCTCTGGATTCTCTTCTATTTGTCCACATCCTAGAGCTAGGCTTAGTACAATTAGCTAGTGTCTTTCCCTGTCTCCTCCCAGACATCTTTGAGAGTGTGTCTCATTCCTTCTTTGCAAAAGCCTTGCTACAGTTTTCTAATACTGGGCCTCTGACAAACTGCAATAGTTGTGCTCAGTTATATCAAATAGTAAGTGTTATCTGATGTGAACAAACCTGTTAGCAGGGGCTGCAGTAAGTCTATCACCCAACTTAATTTAACTTGTTGTCTTAACTTAAGGTCACCCAGGTCTCCAGAAGCGAAAGGCTAGCACGAACTACTAACCAATAGCAGCACTTAATTCCTACTTCTATAAGTGCATTAGATACTGTGTATAAGAGTCCAAAGATACATCAACGTGAATGTTAAAAGCAGCTAAGAAAAGAATCCTATTAAACTTGACTGCCAGTTCAAAGAGCAACTAGGTCTTTGGGGAAAAACAATTGGAATTCCTTGGAGGACAGTACAAAGTAATATGTTTAATGAGCGACATACAAAGCAAACTGAAATAATATACTCAAAGAGAGTGAAAAAATTCTTTTAGCTCACTTGTGAAAGTTAATTTCATTTTGGCAACTCATGTCTCTACTGCCATGGCCAAGTGAATAAATGAAAAGGGGAGGGACCTGAATGGTTTTTGTACTGTTCCTAGCACAACAGTGCCTTATCTTGTTTGGGGCCTTGGGGTAATAATAATAGAGTGAAAAGAATTGAGATTTCTCAAAACTTTCCTTTAATATAGATTTCCAGCACTTTTGTGCCAGCAATTAGTATGGAGAAACCTAATTCCCATTATCAGATCTTTTTATTAGTTTTATTTTCCAAATAAGTGTTGGCTAGAGTGTTACCAGATTTGCCCGTTACTTTGGGGTATGCTCATTTATTCGGGTTACTCTTCTGGGGGGAGGGGAGAGTTCTGTAATTCTATCAATGTACTGCTTCTGTCACTTGTGTTTTCATATGGAGCTCTACTTCCCCCTTCTGCAAGTCCTCTCCCAATGGAGCTATCCTGCAGGACCTAGGTTCCCTAGGACTGGGTTTCTCCAGCCCCAGAACCAGATGAACACCTACACATACATTAACAGAGCCTGTCTGAACGGACTGGGTCAATCAGCACTGTCAAGCTGACCCATTATATGTCTCTGGACTCACTGGGCTGGATGAAGCAGCACTTTCAAGCTGCCTCTCCTTATATGCCCCTGGGCTCCATGGACTGGGTCAAGCAGCACTTTCAAACTGTTATCCTTATGCGTCCCAGATTCAGCACGTCCCTATCCCCACTCTCACATCACAATTGTCCTGGCAGTAACCTACTTGATGAGCAAACCCCACAGTATTTTGGATGCTGCAGGGATCTTTAGCTTAGGTAAAAGAAGAGTTGCTGTAGAGTGAATGGGGGAAGCTAAAAACACAAAAGAGTAAAGTTCAGCAAGAGAGAGAGAAGCAACCAGCTTAACCATAAAAGTTATTTATTGAATAGTAGTGATAACTACACAAGGAGAGCCTAAACCAACATAACCTACATTATTAAAGGTTAATACCTAAGGTAGAAAGGAAAACAGAGAAAGAGAAAGAAGGGGGATCTCACCCACTCCATGAGGCTTGAACTGGTCGGGGTTCTCAGGTGATGTTGGTAGCTCAGGGTCCTGAGGGCTGGAGACAGGCAGAGCCCCCAGCACAGTCAGTCAGGAGAAGATGGAGTCCCAGTGGAACTGATGCATAGTTTGGATCTAAGCATCAGAACACTGGAGAGTGAGTAGGGATTTTTGTAGAGAAAATACAATGGTTCAAGGGAGAACACTAGATTTGTTTATAGGTAAACTGATGACTCAAGGGTTTTCTTTAGGCTAGACAATAGGAGCTGATCACTCTTGGCTATGAGTGGTGTTTTCTTCCAGGGAGCTCACAATGCAACTGGGCTGCTTCAGTATTTTGGATATCAATCAAGGATTCATTACTATAATTGGTCTGATAACTGCTGAGCAGCATGTGGGCAGGCGTAGGTTTATTAACATCTGGAGCAGAGATTCCCATGATGCAGTGCTTCCCTGCTTTTTCTGGTCCCAGAGTTCAGTGTAGTTCTCTGTTCTCCATTCTGTATACAAATTGAGATGTCTCCCTGTCCCATCTTTCATGCAGATGAGGCTGGGGGAGTTGTCTCTGTTCTTCATTCTGTATGCAAATGGAGATGTCTTAATCTTGTCACCCTTGTCAGGAGGGGTCTAAGTGTGTCTCCCAACGCCCTTCACTGCTCTCTGCAAATTTTTTCCTCTGATGGGTTTTGGTTTAAGCAGAGGCTGGGGAAGGAAGGGGGGTGGGGGTGTCTTTCATGAGTCAGGCTGGATACTGCCCCTGGTTCCCCAAGAACACAGAGCTGACTAGTATCAAGAGCCTTTGCCGCTCTTGGTAATTGGGCCTGTCTCATCTTTAGTAAACTCTAATGTGCTACCCATTCCCTCTCTGTTTGTTTTAGCTCTATCCAATCTTTTTTAAATACTCTCTCTTTCTCTTGTTTCTTGGCTTTTCCAGTGGGAAATCTCTCAACTGCCATCCTGTCTTCAGTTCTTGACTGTTTCAACACAATTTGCTTGATACATCACTGAAATATAAAATTAGAAAAATCATCTATTAGCTACTGGAACAATAGTTTTTGTCTGTTTCTTCTTTTTCTAGCAGAGGGAACATGCTACTACCACAAAGGAAATGCAGATTCACAGTTCTGTTGCTCCTAACACGGATCACAAGAAATTCTGCATCATTTATAGAACCCTTGATTTATCTCCACTGGAGTTTACAGCACTTTGAACACTTAAGATTATTTAACATAAAATGTTAGTTCACATCCATTAAAGATTTGTTAGAATCTACTTTTAAATTGTCATACTCTAGTAAACATCAAGCTTCATGATTTATGTGGCCTAATGTCACCTACTCATAGCAGGTCAGGTTTAAATCCGGAGTAACAGAACAAGTTCAAGCTGCTGGTGTATTCTATAAATAAACTATTCTCTATCCACAGATGTGGCTTTTAAATTCTGACACTTTATTGGTGGAATCTATGGGAAATTCAGCATCCAGCAGTGTTTTTACCTTGTTTGAAGATAATTTGAGGCCTGATTCCAGGTCTTCAGGCACATGGAATGCAGTCAAAGTTCTTTATCATCCCTGCATTAAAAACAGGAATAAGGAGTAAGTATCAGCTCTTCTTTTATTAAGTGCCGTTCTTTGTTTGGGTTCACAGTCCATTACAACAGTGTTTCTCTAATGAGCCTTCTAGGTATACTTTAGACCAGGGGTGGGGAACCTTTTTTCTATCAGGGGCTACTGACCCACAGAAAAAATCAGTCGCTGGCCACACACAGCCCCGCAGTGGGGAGGGAGGAGGAGGCTTGGGGCTTCCCCTAGGCTCTGGGGTGGGATTAGAAATGAGGGGTTCAGGGCATGGGAGGGGGCTCTGGGCTGGTGCAGGGGGTTGGGGCATGGGAAGGGGGTGAGGGCTCCAGCTGGGGGTGTGGGCTCGGGGTGTAGGAGGGGGCTCTGGGCTTGAGCCAAGGGGTTTGGAGTGCGGAAGCAGGCTCAGGGCTGGGGCAGGAGGTTGGGGTGCACGTGGGAGTGCGGGGTCTGGGAGGGAATTAGAGTGCGAGAGGGGGTTCTGACCTGGGGCAGGGGGTTCGGGGTGCGGGCTCCAGCTGGGCGGCGCTTACCTCAGGTGGATCCTGGTCAGCGGCGCAGCGGGGCTAAGGCAGACTCCCTGCCTGCCCTGGCTCCACGCTGCTCCCAGAAGTGGCCGCCATGTCTGGCCCCAAAGTGGAGGGGGGCCACGTGGCTCTGCGCAGTATGCACTGCCAGCGCCCACAGGTGCCGCCCCCACAGCTCCTATTGGCCATGGTTCCCAGCCAATGGGAGCTGCGTAGCCGGTGCTGGGGGCGGGGGCAGCGCGCAGAGCTTCCCTGATCACCCCTGCGCCTAGGGGCTGGACATACCGGTCACTTCCGGGGAGCTGCGCAGAGCCAACTGGACTTTTTACAGCCTGGCAACCCTAGCTTCGCCCCGCAGTCGGGCGAGCTGGCGCTTGCGGCTCCAGCCCTGCCAGGGGGAGCACTGAGGCCCGGCAGCGCGGAGACTTGCTGCGGGCTGGATGAAATGAAGGAGCGGGCCGGATCTGGCCCACAGTCTGTAGGTTCCCCACCCCTGTGTTAAGCCAATGAGAATCTGGTGGCTAAATTCCTGCACCCCACTTTGAAAATGTAGGGGCCAGAATTGCATTATTAATTGAGCTACATTAGTATTACAAAACAGGTAGCTAATTGTTTTGCCTTGACAAAGTATAATACGCTCTATTTTTCATAGTTCATATGTAAAAATATAAATGTGTAAAGATACCACTTCATATTCTTGCTAAATAGTAAATTAGTAGTAGATTATTTAGTAATGTGAAAGAGTTTTACAATTAAGTGCTTTTCAAATATGATTTTACAGGTTCTCTCTGTGTGTGTGTGTGTGTGTGTGTGTGTGTGTGTGTGTGTGTGTGTGTGTAATTGTAACTTGCTTTGAATCTAATGGTAAGATTCTTTTTTTTTTTTTAAGTTCCAACTGAATGCTGTACACTTGGTTTTTCTTGAATATGTCCAAGTCTACTAGAGTTTTCATAAAGAAAACATTTGACTTCTGCAGGCTCTGAAGTGTCAATTATGGAAGAAAAACACTGCCAGTGTAATATTTAGTTAAAGTTGCAATCACGCATTTAATAGCATTTTATATTTAAGCTTGTAACTAGTGGTGGATAAAGTTGCTAGAATATTACATTTACCAATTACTTCAGTGTTTGCACAGCTGACGATATAGTATTCGTTGGGTAATTTGTATTTCATCTATTAGCTCTATTACGGTAGAGCAGAAAGCATATATGAATAGTGGTTTGGGTTTGTTTTTTTCCCCTTAAACTCTTGAGAAAAAAAGTGTTGGATTAAATAGGTATTATAAAACTTACCAGAAAATATCATATCTTGTGATCCTATTTTATAAAAGAAAAATATGAACCTCTCAAAAACTTGTGAGAATTTGTGATATCTATCATGGTGTTTCCACTGATTGTATAGTGACTGCATCCCCAATATACATAAAAACAATTCAAATACTGAATATTTTGAACATACTCTTCTGTCTAATTCATAGAATGCTCAGATACTGTGAGCAGTGCCTATTTGTGGAGGAGAGATCTTTTTCCTACAGAGTGATGTGATAATTAAAATTATTAATGCAGAAGGTATTGGAAAACATATTGCTGTGTGTGATATAGAGGTTATTTAGTGGCTCTAAATCTCTATTATAGTAGTCTCATGTATACTGCTTAAACTTCAAATGAGGAATACTGCTGGAATCAGTGCAATTTCTCAAAACAGAAGAAATTGTATATCAACGACTTGAAAACTTGAAGTAGTAAATATTTGCATTTTCAGCAGGTTTTAATTTTTTATTCTGAATTCTGTCTACCTTGGCATAATGCATAGATAACAGCCATATATACTTAATCACTTGCAGTTTGGATACATTGATATCCAAATCCTATTGTGGATTGTTTACAAAAACAAGAATGCACTTCATTTAGGGATGCAGAGGCAAAAAAAAATGTCAATTTAGAAAAGAGGGAGGTTCTTTTCTGTCAAAGGATCCATCACAGAACTTTATTTGAGGCCTTACTGCCAGGAGTAGGTGTCTCTCTTTCTCTAGTGGATTGGGTGTAGGAAGTCTATTTCCAAAGATTAATTAGAATTTATCTTTGGGGTTATTCAGGGTACATCTACACAGCAAAACAGAATAAAACACAACCACTTGTGGCAGCAAGTTTGAGAGCCAGGGTCAACTGATGCGGGCTTGCATTGCAGGGCTAAAAATAGCAGTGTAGACATTCAGGCTCAAGCTGGAGTGCTGAAACGCAGTGAGCGTCTCAGAGCCCAGGCTCCAGCCCAAGCCCAAACGTCTACACTTCTATTTTTGGTCCCACAGTGTGGACCAAAATCAGTTTTCCCTGGCTCTGAGACCTGCTGCCATAGGGTTTTTGTTTTACCTTCAGTGGCTGCCAGATAGTCATGACTGAGATCTTGGAAAGCACACTCTGACTCAGCTCGCAGAAACATCAAGAGCAGAAAGAAGATGAGGGGTGACAACAGTAACAATTGTTCCAATTTATCTTCCCTATTAGGACATTTGCTTTAGTTATTTTTTTAAATATGTGTGTTATCAGTAACTTTAAATAGCACAGTCCATTTATGGGTCTGGTGTCTGAAGATCTCCCTGTATTTTATTTTATTTTATTTTATTTTTTGAGCTGCTCAATACTTAGGAATGTTACCTTTTTACTATCATTTTCCTCCTCTTAGCATGAGTTGAAATCAGAAGAACTTGGCTTATCTGAGCATGTGACTAATTGCCCTTCAGGAAACCATGCAGAAAAACAAAACGTACAAACTTAACTACCTTCTCAACATCTCTCCTTATTCAGATTTTCAGTGGATATTACTATGACCTTATTGCTTGTCTTTTTCTTGACTGAAGACTTCAGATTCCCTCTGCTTATGCCATCTTTTGTGCTAACTGCTCCAATTAAAATATTTTTAAACAGACAAAAGAAAAACATGTCTGTTTTCCTAAGTCCATAAACCAGGAATTATGAAATACTCTTTGTTTCAGTCTCATACTTAACATCTCTCACTGGTGCAAAAGGCCTGTTGCATGATGTAGACCAGGATTGTTCTTGTATGCTGTAGCCCTTTTCATGTATGTTGTATCCCAGAGTGTTCTCCAGAGCAGTGAATTACACATCCGTTATGAATTAACTCTAGTTCTGAAGCTTGGAACGTGTGGCTTAGGGACTACCCCCTGCTCAGCTGTTAGAATGTGGTGCTGTCTGAGCCTTTTAGGGGCACTTTGACACGTTCCCTATCCAGTCATTTTTTGCTACATCTCCCTACTTGGAGCTTCCAGGATAGGCATGAAAACTGGCTATATATAAATATGAGAAACAAACTGCAATGACTTAGCTAGTGCTTTGACATCTACTGATGACAAGCACTACATAAGAGGTACTTGTTATAATATTAGTACTCCCAGTCATTCAATTGTGTCTGGAGACCTGTGGTTTTGTTCTAAGTTGACTAGTATTTTACTGGCAGGTTAATAATAATTTGCACTTAGTTACCTGCTTTTACAATGCTATATGTGTCCTGGTAATTGGCTGTAGGACTTATTCTATGCATTTGTGGACTGCTATGTACTCGGGAATCAGTCATCCCCAAATGTTTTCTTCAGTGATTTGCAGATAAGATGAAGAAAAATGTCCCCTGAACACGTTGTACTCAAACTCCTTTGCATAACATTTGTTTTGGTTTTTTGCTTTTAAAAAGAGTTTGGCACAAATCTTCTTGGAAAATAAAATGAACGGTGGGGGGAAGACAATCTTCTCTTACTTTTCTACTCATGTAAAAAGCTACAAAGAGTCCTGTGGCACCTTATAGACTAACAGACGTATTGGAGCATAAGCTTTCGTGGGTGAATGCCCACTTTGTCAGATCTACAGCTTTTGTGTTTAAGCACAGTGCACAAACTCATCTAAATTAGACATTAGTGGTTCACTTATGGTTTATTTCTTAAAACGTTGACTAGAAAGAGTATACCGCGGGAGAACTCAATGAATACGGAGATGAACAGCATTGGGATGTATGAGTTAAACAGCAGTATATTTTTATTTGCTCAGCATTGTTTTTGGTTTCTGCTGATCCGATTAAAGTAGCCATTGAGGCTATAGTCTGAAAATAAATAATATGGAATACATAATGGAGGGGGATTGTTGAGTGAGTGAGATTTGCTGGTGGTTGGGAGGGCTGCCTACTTTATATATAAAATAAAAAAGTGAGGGGAAAAAAGGCTCGCTTGCCGGCGTAGTGCCTTCATAAGAGGATTCTTTTTAGTTTTAACTAAAATACAGAGCCTAGAAATGTTTTTCTTTCCTTAAAAGGTAATCACCATTTTAGTTCTTGGGCTGTTTTGTATGAGGCAATCTTGTAGCCCAATTATAATCCCATTGAAATCCGTACAGGATACTTTGCAAGAAAAATAACAAAATAAAAAACAAAGCACCCCTCCACTTTTCACTAGTTTGAGTGACTTTATAGATGTATGCTTATCCGTTCCATTCACTACATGCTTTCCAGTTACCTTATACAGAAATCCTAAGCAAAAACATTTATACATGTGTGATGGGGTAGTCTGCCATCCACAGCAATAGTGCCTAGTTGTCTGCCCATCCCACCACCTGTCATGGCTGTCGGAGGGTTTGAAAGATCCTATAGGAAGATGTAGAGAGACCTAAGGGAGATAGGGATAGTGAGGAAGCAGCTTTAGGACTGAATAGTGCTTGTTCATGTATGTTTAAGGGCCCAGTGTCAGGAACCTTGCACAGAGGATGGGGCAAGCCTCCCCTCTCACCCTACGAATTGGGAAGGAGTTGGGAGAAAGTGGAACAGCATAAAGCTACCTCCTCCCTCATAGCAGGGCAGACATTGACAGGAGAAGGCTGGCCTGATGAACCTTTGAGATTGGAAGGCTAGATGGGAAGGGTGTTTAGCTGAAGGAAGAGGGCAAAAGTCTTGCAGCTGATTAACCTAAGGCAGTTGGCCTGAGAGACAAACTCCAGCTCCAGAAAGAGGACTGAGGGGAAACTCCTGCTTGAAGAATGGAAAGACAGATTATTCTAAGGCCAGGTCTACACTACACCTGTTAAAGTGGCACAGCTATATTGCTGCAGCTCTAGCGCAATAGTGTAGACACTTTGTACATCAACGGAAAGGGGTTTTCCATTGCTGCAGTTAATGTCACTCCAAGAGGCAATAGCTAGGATGACAGAAGAATGTTACCGTTGACCTATCCACATCTACCGTGGGGCTTAAGTTGACCTAAGTATGGTGCTCAGGGTGCAAGATTTTTTACAACCTTGAGCGACGTAGCTAGATGGATCTAATTTTTAAGTGTAGACCAGGCTTAAGGCAAAGAGGCCCAAGCCACAACCCCAGTCCCAGAAAGAGGGGCAAGGGGGAACTCCTGTTGAGAGGAGAGAGAGACTGACTATCTTAAGGCAAAGGGCAGAGAAAACTGGTAGCAATTACAATCCTGCTGCTGCAGAGAAGAACCTGAGACTGGCTTTTAGGAAACACTTCCATACCTGGCCTCAGGAGAAGCCACAATGAACCACAAAGTCAAGGTGAAGACCACAGAAACTGCAGATCTTGTGACGTTGCTGATGAGCCAGGTAAAAGTAGGAGCAACCCAGGAAAAACAGTGGAGCTGAAGAAACGGTCCTTAGCCACCTAAACAAGCCTGCTCTCTGTTCCAGCCTAAGAACACTGGATTCCCCTAGCTCTTCCCCGGACCAAGAGGGGAATCGTGGATGTCAAGAATAAAAGAAGCAAAGACCTGATAGAAGCTGGAATTGAAGGCCATTAGATCTTGTTTACTATTTTTTGGACTTTTTGGGTAACCTGCAGGAACGGGAATGGACTGAGCAGTGGCATGGTTGGAGGGCTAGGCCACAGACAGCAGACTGTTGTAGCACCAGAATCAACTAAGGGGGGTGCTAGACTGAGAGAACCCTGGCAACGCCAAACCTGGATGTTAGGTGGCCCTCTGGAGGTGAGCGGTGTGATTACAGCACATAAGCCCTCAGGGATGGAATTGAACTGAATTTTGCTCCTTGTTGATTTGTAACCTCATAGCTCTTCCTATTAAAGTTTAGAAGCCAAAATAATTGCTCTGGTCCAGAGGTGCTGAAACAATTTTTATAGCGGGGGTGCTGAGAGCCATTGAACCAAATTGTAAACCCTGTATGTAATGGAAACCACGTCAAGCCAGGGGGGTGGCTGCACCCCCCAGACCCGTTAGTTCCAGCACCTATGCTCTGGTCTGCCTTCTCTCAAGGAGCTTGTTTCTGTGCTGGTTTAGAATGCT